CCTACCAGCTTTCATCAAACTGACATTTCTTGGATTACTGTTGAACAATCAATCCTGATATCGTTGAACATTTTGTAAAAGCAGTTGTTTAACGATGGAGGATTATGTAACCCTTTATTAAGTTTAATTGAAAAGAGTCCCTCTAGGAAAAACAACAACAAAACAAGAAATAAGACAAAGTCTGTGCAAATGGCAGGTGGTGATATAACCTATGTAGACTAAATACTTTCAAATGATTTTTCATACTTGACAATGTCTCATTAAAATTGCTTTCAAGGCTTATGCTTATGAGTGACTGTTCTGTCATGCTCTTAATATTAAAACAAGAATCAGGAACATTTTGTTTTCCAGAAACATCCAAATACCTATTTGTCAGTTAATAGCCTTTTGAATCTTGGATCTTTCGATACAAGCATTGGAGTTATTTTTTTTCTTAAAGAGTGTTGTCATCATACTTTTTCATTTTTCTTCATAAACTCAGAACTTATGGTATTTACAAATAGAAACAAATATTTCAGAATATTACAGATACAGAGGTGAAGTAAAGTCATTTAAATAAAGCATATCACATAAACATAAAAAATAGCCTTTTGATATTCACTTCATCTGTAAAAAAAAAAAAAAGGTGACATGTAAGCTAGCAAGCGAAGCAAAAGAAAAAACAGACATTTGCCATATCTTCAATAAAATAGAGATACTTAATTTGCACTTATTCTCTTCTTGGCTTTTACTCCATATCTGTTGTGAGGAATTCATTATGTGGCCATCTCCCTGAAGTTTTTACTGCAAGTGCATTTAAGTCTTTTGACAAATGTAACAATCCCCAGTATCAGCCTTTGGCATCTGTTTTCGGTCTGGCTTTTCTCGGGTGCAGGACTAGTTTACGCCTCTGCTGGGCTTTCTACAGTAAAGCTTAAGACTCTGCTTAATGTCAACACACAAATATTCGAACGGATTGTTAAAGTTGTACTGCACTTGATCATCATGGCTAACATCATACAGTCAAGTTTAAATGTTTTTCTGTTCGTCTTATGTCTTGGGAGACACAAGAGAATACTGTATACCTTTAAGTTGATAAAAGCTTAAAACTCATGAGTGGAAACGATTTAAATGAACATTGAAACTTTGTGAACTTTCTCATATTTTTAAACATTAAATGGCCTTTTTCATGCAAAATCAGCTTTTAACCATTTCTAATTACGTTGCAATGCCATTCCTTTGTCAAAGCCATGCACAGTGATATTTTTGCCTGATTCATGCATGTCTGAGTGATTCCAATGAATTTTGCAATCTGAGCACAAGCCCCTTCTTGTCCTTTGAAATTCATCAGCCAACACTGTTCTTCATAGGAAAGTGTCAACCTGCCCTTTCCAGGAATACCCTTCTTTTAACGGGTTGTGGCTGGAACTATACAACTAGACAAAAAGAAGCGGCTTCATAGTGGAAGCAAGTGTTTCCTTCCATGTTAGAAGAAAAAAAAACTACATCTTAACAAATTAATAATCCGCAAACCTAAAGGCGTTAGTTTATCATATGTGTGCCAAACGCTGACTTTGAAAGTCTTTAAAAGGCATGCTATAGGACCTTTAACTAAGATTTTTAAAAGAGTCATGTGTGCAAAGATGGATTCCCCATGACAAGGGGTGTTAGAGTGTTTGCAACACTCAGCTTCTGGATGGGGCTCCCTCAACCATTTCCCTGTGATCACTGTGGCAAGGACAGAGGTAGCCTTTCAGATGCATGCGCACTTTGCTGTGCAGTGAGGCATAGATGAAAGGGTTATAACATGCCGAACTCATAGCCACTAAATGACAGCTGACTTGCAGGACATTAATGTAGCGTTTTCCAATGAAAATGAATTCTGGGTCCAAGTCCAACAGAAGGTTCAGCACCTGAGTGATATAAAGCACATGAAGAAGTCAGATTTTGTTAGAAAAACCCGAAGGGTAAACAACCGTAAATATTTCATAAAATACAAAAAATGCCTTAGACCTTTCGTTGTGGAGCTGTGTTAGAAGCACATACCGTGTTCCCTCCAGTAAATAATGTTTTTTAGCATATTAACATACCGGTAGTCTAATGAGTTTAATTTAAAGGCCAAAGTTAGCAAATTTTCCTAGTGAGCCTAAGACCATAGAGAAACTGTTTTGTAAGAAGTTCTTGCATGTTTTGTTCTCATTATGCATTTTTCTAATCAAAGTAGCCATTTGAAAATATATCCTCAGGTCCTAAGGAGATAGATTTGGTTAGCAACCATAAACAGGTTAAAACTGTGTGGCCAGAGATATTTTTCTTTCTATAGTTGAGACTGGTGGTTACTGTAACTGCCAGAGGTGTCAAAAGTATTGGTTTATTACTCAAGTAGAAGCACAAATCCTACTGTTTTAAAACACTTTTGTAGAAGTTAGAGTATCAACTTAAGCTTTTTACTCAAGTAAAAGTGAAAAAATACCATTTTTAAAACTACTAAAAGTACAAAAGTAAAAGTAATGCAGGTTAAGGACAGATGCTTTACTGCATTGACCAATTAAAGGAACATTTTTCTACAATTCTGGATGATTACTTCCTTATAATTAATGTTCTTAGTTTTATAACTAATGGCAACAGTGTTAAATTTAATTTTGCATCATCTGAGAAAAAACATTTATTTTAGTATGTGGTGCAACCACAAATAAATTAATTGTCTGGATGAAACAAATTATTGATGATTTTTATTGTTTTTAAATAAATAACGAAAAAACTAGATTAAATAAAACAAAACTAAAGAGTCTATTTTTAAAATTTAAGGAGTAGGAACTATAGATTATTGCAAGAAAAAAAATGTAAGGACTAAAAGCAAAAAGTTGTCAAAAAAATAATTTCGCCAATAAAGTATAGATAGACAAAATTTATAAGGTAACAAAGTATTTGTATTTTGTTACTTGAAACCTCTGGTAACTGCTTTTGCAATTCCATAATTTCTACCAGTGTACTAACAATGCTTTTGTCTGTCTGATGTGCTAAAACCAGCCTGTTTGGAATTAAAAATCGTAACTGTCTTGCAATAATTATGGACAGCTGCTCTAAGGCTACGGCACAGACATGCTGCAGAGAGTCACTCAGTGTAGGGGCCAAGTGTGATGCCTCGTGGGGGCAGTTTTGAAAGACTGAAAGCCCCAAACGATCTGGGAAACTGCCCAGCGCCTCCTAAGAGGGAAGCAGTGACCTCAAAATCCTAGGTTCAGCAACCACTACACTGTGTGACTTTATTCTCCCTTAGCGTGACAGAATCCTAATCTTTTAGTCTTCATGGCTCATTAAGAAAATAATTTTAGCTTTGCAGACTGCATTACTTTAAGATAGCCCTTTGGGATAAATGATACAGAAAATCTAATCTCACTAGCAATAGAAGTTTCATTTTAGGCCTCTTCCCTGCGGTTTCAGTTTATGTTATGCTGCTTGATAGAAACAGAAGCAGAATGCAAATTTGACTTTATAATCTTCTGAAATTCAACTTAGCCAGACAGAAGAAGGAGCAATTGATTGAAAAACTTATAATAATGAAGAGTAAAGACAGTTAAACAAAACATCACTTGTTTGTTTCCAGCATTTACCTGGAGAGGCAACCAGCACAAGGCAAATGCTAGCACTGAGGCAACCAGCAGAGAAAACGTCTTTTTTCTTCTTCGACTCCAGCGCTGTTGACTGCCGGATGGCTCACCCGGAACTGAATATCGCTTGAGGCTAACAGTGATGGCACAGTAAGAGATGCTGACGGACAGCAGCGGGATCATGTAAGAGGTTATCAGAATAAAGCAGGAGTATAGCAGCCGTAGATTGCCACTATCAGGCCAGAATTCCTCACACACCACCAAGTCAATCCCACTTGGACGAAGGTCCAGGTAGCGTGTGTAGAGAGATGGAGGTGCAGCCAGGGCCAGAGACAAAAGCCAGACACCTATAGTCACTGCCCCACAGCCCCAAACAGAAATTCTTTTCCGAACAGGGTGAGCTAGGATAAGAAAAATAAGACATAAAAAGCAATAGATGATTAAACCATTTTTAGTGCACTATATATAAACTGTAATGATCAAAAATAACTTTTTATTTCTTAATTCAGATAAATTAGCCTAACACATACTTGGACTACATTTATTGGCACCCGAGGTAAAGATGTTTTAAATATGGTAAAGATGTGCAAAATGTCCTAAAAGGAATTCTTTCTTTTATTCTAGTGTCATAATTTTGTACTGAAGTTTAAAAGAATTTATATTAAAAATATAAGAAACAACAACAAACACTGATCACTTTAAAATATATATATATTTTTTGCATTTACCTGCTTTTTTAATCAACCTGTAATTTGTAGTCTATCATTTTCTAAGTTGACATGAAGTAGATACCAGGAGTTTAGCAATTGATCATTAGAGTGGATAAGCTCACATACTATTGTTACAGTATGAACAATAGTTAGGGGGGGTGGGGGTGGGGGGGTTTACTGGAGCTAAAAAATCTCAAACATTCACTGTTAGGTAACTGCAGTACATAGTTGCATTGTGGCTGCATGACAACAATTAAACAGTGCTTAATCCCTGTGATCTCTTTTGGACAGCATCTTCTACCCCATGCAAAGCATCTCCTCCAGGGGCAGACTGCTTCATCCATGATTTTTGAAGGAGAGATTCAATAGGTCTTTCCTTCCAGCTGCTGTCAGACTCTTGAACAAAACCTTTGCAGCTGTACACTTACACACAGAGTAACAAATGCAAACTTGCAACATATGATAGCTGTCAACAGTTGGTTGCATTTGTTTAGGATTGTGGATTTACATGATAATTATTTGGATATACATTTGTATTTTTTTTTATATATCTTTTGCAATCATATTTTTGGATAGTTGTGTTTCTGTCTACACCCTTGACTTTACACAGTCCACTGTTTGTCATGAAAATCAAAATTATCAACTTATGGGGGTAAAGATTTATCTTATCTGGTCTCGTCTTGCCTGGTCTTAAGATGCTAACTGGTTGGAATACACCTTACTGTAAAATATTGTCCAGGATCAAATAAAAAAAGGCATTTATTTCTTTTTCTCGTGGTGCAATAAAAAGCTTTTATTTTAAGACTTAACATACCTTTACTAGGGTGCAAACAAACGTCTACCCTGTCTTTTAAGGCCCTGTCACACCTTGACGATTTAAACAGCAAATGCCTGACTCAAGAAAAATATGGCAAAAACACTGGCATACGTTGGATAAGTTATGGGTACGTTTTGTATAAGTTATGAGCACACTGAAGTTTGCTGAAGCATGATAAAACATGTCGACATACGGCAAGTACATTGAAAAAATTTGAGCATGCTAAAAATTTCCCGACATATACCAGCGTATGCTCAATAGTGGGCCATAAGTAGGTTATCTGATCATTGACAGATAAGTGTAGGTTACTCATAAGTTGTGGTGTCCAGCTTATCCAAAACCTTCGAGTAACATGTGCATAACCCATGCGTAATTTATCAAGACCTTATCTCCAACAAATGTCAACATATGTGACCTGTGAACGTTTTTCCTAGGTGCAGCTACCGTATAACGACGTATTAGCAGCATTTTTTTATGGAAGGGGGTTCAATAGGAGGAAATAATCAGAGCCCCTCCAGACCTCATCCCCATCATGGTGAATGAGAAGGTGAGTGTGATGGATCCTCCCTGCGTTCACGGCCACAACCAACAAAATTCCTAGCAGATATGATGCTGAATCTGCTGCATCACTGCCCTCCTCAGGATACTGGCTTGTGAGTCATTTTATGGGCCATTATGCTGCTGTGCGTTATACATAAGTTAGTCTCTCGTTGGACAACTGCTCTGAAATCATTATGAATACACTATGTATACTCCCAAAATGGAAAAAATGCATAGATATTTCAGTGTATGCCAGCGTTTTAGGAGATTTACACAGCGTATGCAGAATCTCCTAAAACGCTGGCATACGCTGTCTAAATCGGCAAAGTGTGACAGGGCGCTTAGCAGTTAATCTCATATTTTGTTGTTGAATTAGATCTGTTGGTTTTTATTTTATTGTTGGTTTTATTGTTTATGAGAATGTATTGCTTTGTAAAATATTAAGTTTGGAGTAATAATGTTTAGTGAGTATATAAAATGGATGACTATTTAAAAAAAAGATTATTTACCTACAACAATGTAGCGATCAACAGCAATAGCAGTAAGTGAAAGCACAGAGGCAAACACTGTGGCACACTGAAGCAGGGGCACCAAGTGGCAAAGAGGTTGGCCAAAAACCCAGCCATGGCTGTCGAAGGCATAAGATACAGTCAGTGGGACACAACTTAAACACATCAGTAGGTCACCGGCCGCTAAATTACCGATGAAGAAGTTGGTGGCATTGTGGAGTTTCTTGTCTGCCATAATGCAGGCCAGTAAAAATGAGTTTCCAACTCCTGCAACAACCACAATCAGGCAGTACAGAGGCATAAATAGAGGTTTGAATCGTTGAAGAAGCTCCATGCCAACAAACATGTCCAGTGGGTCACTGTGATTGAGTCCTTGGCCTTTGTTGATATCCGCTCCCCCCGTTGAATGTGTGGAGTTACCGACACCAAAATCCTTATCCATAAAGATGTCCATGTCTAGGCAGATAAACCTAAAAAGAAAGAAACAATGAATTATGAAGCACCTAAATGTGAAGTCAGCAGATTTGTGATTTGATTTCACATCAGGGCTTTTGAGAAAACAAAAAGTTTAACCAATTTAGTGCAGATGTACATACAATAATATAAAAAATAAATAATAATTTTGGCTACATATAATGTTTTGAGGTAGGTTTATATGTAGGATACAAGCTGGGAGCATTTAGTTTGCCTTTTATAGTCAAATTCCTAAGGTGTATGCGTATGGCTTATAGGTTTCCTACGACCAAAATTCACACAGCCCCATGGAAATCTTTTATTTTTTTCTTGAAGAAAATAATATGTGTTCAGTATTTTGCTAGGCCCAAATTATTCTTACTTGAAAAAAAAAAATAAAATAAAATAAATATATATATATATATATATATATATATATATCAAAATGTATGACCCAAAAAGGCAGCTTGACATGCAATATAGAGTGTACCGGGACCCCTGGGAAAGAAGTGGATGAATGCATTACAGCGCCTTTTATGGGAAATGCTATAATATAGTTTGAGACCAGAAAACAGCTGCAATTTTCAACCCTATTAGGTAAAGTGATTTCCACTGACTAATCTTTACATCGTAATTTATCTGGTTCATTTGTTAAAGCTTCAAATATCACTTCTGCTCTTTAATAGCACATAGACAATCAAATTAGCTTTCTTCATTATCTTGTCCAAGGATCTCTCTAAGGCATCTACTTCTTATTGCAAGGAGCCTTGTGTACAGGGACTTAATAAACATAAGTTTTATAATTTGTGTTTATTGGACATCAATGACCAATTGTGCTGTGTGACTCAACTTCTTCTGTCCCTCTAAAGACAATCGTATGATAGAAAAACTATGGAGTAGTGAGTCCCTAATCCTTAGCATTGATCTTATACATACATGCATGTATGAATACATATATAAATACATACATAAAAGTATGCATGCATGCATACATATATACATGCCTGCATGTCCTAAACCTACCCATTACCGACAAAGTGAGGACAAGCAAAATGTACTCACTTTGGTGGTGAAATCTAAAAAGTGGTCCTCATTCTGATGCACAAACAATAATAAAAACACCTATTGGCTTACGGAAAGGTAGAAGGACAATTTCCAAAGGATGAGTTCACTCAATTGTTCAACAAGGAACAATTTGCTTTTAGTGGACGTGGGAACAGCTCACTGACGCATATCTACCTGGGTCAAATGACTCAGCAAGCAAATAGCATTAGCATTGCCTTGGCTCTGATTAGCATGCTGTGGGAAAACCAGACCCAGGTTGACGCGGTAAACTATGTGATATCATTGAGCACAACATACGGATGTCAATACTCCCCGCTAGTCGCTTCTGATGTACAGTAACAAGCTGAAACAACTCTGTTTGCATTCAATAACGATGGCGTAGTGGTGATGAGAGGCATTCAGACGAACAAAAGAGCGAAATAAAGCCAACTTACTACACCCTAACTGCTTTACATGTTGCCATTACACTGACTTAGTCTTAAGGGCCAAGGTGTGATTGAGTAGCAGGATTGTTAAAATTTGGTTAGACTTAGACAACATTTATTGTCATTTTTTATACACAGCGTGTTTAAAGAATGAAACTTCTTTTTGTACAGCTCTCATGAGATTTCCAATTCTTGAAGTGCAGCAGTGATCAAATGTAAACATTGTTGGAGTAAAAAATGCATCGATATGGTCAGTTTGATGCAGAGTCTCTGACATGGTTTATAGTTTTTTTTTTCAATATTTGTATTTTATATTTTCTATTTTGCATACCCAAATTGGAAAAGCAAATAACTTAGGAACTCTAAGTCAAAATTACATGTGTGATACATTATTTGGCACATTTGGAAATTTTAAGAGACGCTGGCGACTCCAAGAGTTCAAGCCCCACGAATCTGGAACTGTTGTAACTAGAGGTCTGAAATTTTCTGCATTTGTGGTTGACATGATGCAGAACACATGTAATACAATGAGACATGACTTTTACTCAAGCATGTCTTTATAACTGTTGTTCAAAAAATACCTATCATTTTCGAGAGTTCGAGAATTACGCGACTGTGAAGGTTGCGGACCACTGCTGTAGATTCTCTCGGCTCTGCAACCCTTCTGGAGTAAGAGTCATTTGTCGATTTTTTTAGTTTTTAAAGCCACAATGTGTAATAACTATAGAAATTATTTATTATCATCTACGAACTGAAAGTTTCAACCTTTATGTTTAGCGTTGCCCTAGTAATTGCTATTTGTAACTACATAGGAGCAGGTCGCTCATTTATGGAGGCAGGTTAGGGTAGCACAAAGCTGACAAACCGGTGACTGTAGAGATTGCCAGAGATTACACTCAAATGTGACTGTGACAAGTTAGTCCTATATCGAATCTATAGATGTGTTGCAGTTGACGTCACAGATGTTTCAATATAGCTGCTCTGGTCCCCTGTGTTTCCAAGAGGTCATCCGTATGGTGTGCCATCAGGTTTGACATGAAAATAGTGACCCAAATATATCTTTTTACCAGTTACTAAAAGAGAACAAACCACAGAAAGGGCATACTGGACGTTGACTGCAAGTAGCTGTCTGTGAAGTGTACCTGTGCATCAGGTGAGTTTCAACACAAGTCGGGAGAGCTAGCCTGAGTTGTTGCAAAGTGGATTTAATCTGTTGTACAATTTAAATTATATATATATATATATATATATATATATATATATATATATATATATATATATATATATATATATATATATATATATAAATAAATTAATTAAAATAACTACATTTCTGTCAACATTTCATACCAACTGGCACTATTCCAGGGTCTATGGTACGACAAGTACGTTGCAATATATTTATGTGATAAATTATAAATTATATATATCCTTTATAATAAAGGAACAAAGAAACAAGTTCGATGTTTCACAAGTTGATATATATAATGTATTTATTGTATGCAAATATATACATTTTATATAAATTGATATAGAAAATTGGTATGATCATGTCAGAAAAGTAAGCCATGCAAGTGGATTCTGTATAAAACTGAGAAGGTTAACAGGAACATGTTTTCTCATTGTTATATGCACATTCATATACGACTCAAACACACCAGTTCACGAGTTTTTAGTGCACCATGTCATGTAAATTAGTCTCAGTAACTGAACATCAATTAATTTATAATTGATTATTATTAAGACCCTAAGAAGGTAGGGGAGATAGGGAAGGCTGTTATAAATATGAGGTGCAAATGTCCTCCTGTCCCCAGAGCTATCTGCACTTTTCTGATTGCTGCTGCAAACAGCTGTTAGATATATAGTGCATGCCAGTGGAAAATATAATGAAAATATAATGTTAAAAGTTGTAATAAATTCTGAAATGATATGGTCTTAGATCAAATATCAGCTTATGCTATTCTTTATGTAAATCAGAGCAATATTAGTCCTGATCCTGCAGAGTCAATGAATTTGCAATCAGCTGGCTTTTTAATTAATCTAACTGTATGATTTGATTTAATCGTTTCTGTAAAGTGCCTTGAGATGATTTGTATTATTATTGGGACTATATAAATAAAGTGAATTGAATTGCAGTAATTATGCCAAGAGAAACATCATCTCTTTCAAGTCATCAAAATCAATTTAGAGCTTCTTAATTAGTGGAGGCATGCATGAAAATCTTAATCAAATAACCTTTTTTCTAAAGCAATATGGGAGGAGATTTAGTATTGAAGGCATAATTATATTACTATGACAGTTTTAATCTAATATTAACAAACTTGGATTTAAAATGTACTTCCCCCCCCCATATTTATCTAAATTTGATATATATATATTTTTTCTGATAGCAGTATATGTGCCTTGGTACTATTGTGGCTCTGTATTTGATGACATTTTTCTCTACGCCTTTTAAAGTCAATTATTATGGGGCACAGAGCTGAGGTTGCTGATCCCCATCTTCTTGTGGCCTTTAGGTTTTGGCAGTTAATGAAATAACAAACAGCTGTGGTGGCTTCAGAGCAAATATCATCTGTATTTAGAATGTTTTTTTCACATTGCTTAGAAGCCTTTTCATTTATGTCAAGCTGCTCCATGTATTCAAAACAAAACTATGACTTATACCCATGTTTTCAATGTAATGTGCTATTAAAACTTAGATGCATTCTTTATATTAAATCTAGATGTTTGAAGTAAATGTGCTCAGGTATGAAAAATAAAAATGGAAATCAAGTCATTGCAGTGAGGCAGTTAGATAAGTAACATTTCTTTCACTTTCAGTGATACAAAATCATACATTTAATGTGTATTTGGCCCCTAATGAATATAATTCCCAGCTTAAAAAGCTTACTTGACCTCTGATATCAGCGGGGAAAATTCTTAATCCTCTGAATACAATCAGTCATTGAAAAGATTATACATGAACCAGATTGGTTTGCACCATAAGATCATTAAAAACATTATGTTTTAGCAGTTTAGCACCTCCCTAACAATGACTGGTTGATTTAATGTCTTCCAATCAGTCTTCCATGCTCAACACAGTACTCAAAGTGCCCAATGACATCCTTAAAAATGCAGACTGCAGAAGGACCACTATGCTGGTATTATTGAACCTTAGTGGAGCGTTCAACCCTGTTGAGCACCTAATTTTCTTTACAGACCACAAAAATCACATGTGGCATTTCCAGAGGGTCCATATCAGAACCCCTACTATTTAGTATCTACATGCTCCCCCTAACACAGATGTTGAACTACGCATCTCTGAAAATCAATTGCCACAACACAGATTATTAACACAGTATAGTTAATATCATAACTATACACAAAACACACAGCTATACATTACAAGTCACTGGGTTAACCTGTTTAAATGCAGAAAAGAAAACATGGATGTGCCATAACTTTTTTCAGCTAAACCAAAACAAAACTGAAGTAATAGTTTTTGGATCAAATGAAGAGTCCTCAAAAGTTTGCACATGATTGCCGCGGTTAATACCACTACTGTAGGAACCACTCTCAAGCTTGAAATCTTGGTTTAGTGATGGAGTCAGACCTGAAGGTTCAGGGGCACATAGAAATGTTGTCAAATCATTCTTCTATCACCTTCAGGATTAAAGGACTAATATCTCCTCAGGATCTTGAAAACAAGTTAAGGGGTTACTCATTGGTAGAAATGAATACTGCAGCAGTGTCTTCACAGGTCTGCCTAAAAAGCTGATTAGACAACCTCAGTTGGTCCAGAGTGCTGCTGCCCAGGTCTACACCAATATTAGGAAAGTGGAACATCTCAGAGAATAGACTTTAAACAAATCCTGTCCAGTCTATAAATCATTGAGTGGGTTTGCTCAAAATACAGTACATCGCAGTATATCAACGACCCCAGACCTCTCAGGTCCTCTGGCTCAAATCTACTCTGCATACGCAGAACCAGGACCGAACATGGAGAAAGAATTTCAAGTTCATATGCTCCACTAATCTGGACCAAACTTGCAGAAAATTGTAAAATTGCTAAAACACTATATTTCTTTAAAATGATTTGTTCCGAGTGGCCTTTGACTGTGCAAGTCTAAATATTTTAGTCTAAATTAGAAGTCCAACTTATTTTATTATCAATCATTTTATTCTTCTTTAATTATCTGGCTATCTGAATGTTCCTGTATGTTTTCCTCACAATTCCTATTGTCCCACAATGGTGAAATCTACTATATTCTACACTATTCTGTTTTATTATGTACAGCTCTTTGGATTCCCTTGCTACTGAAAAAGCTGTATAAATAAAGTAACCTTGCAGGAGGGAGAAACTATTTAAATGTGGATCAAATCTGTATGGGACTAGGGATACAGTGCCTGTCCAAACTATCTATACCTCTTTTTAATTTTGTTACAAACCAAAAATGTCAGGCTCCAAAACATTATGTTCAAATAACAAACACGAAAACCCCCACTAATATCCTGAACTAGAAAATCAATTTTCCAAATATGAGACTCAACTGCAGCCTCAATTTTAATGTCTTTTTTCAGTACTTCCTAAAGGGAAGCGCAAACTGACATGCAAAAATATCTGTGGCCATTGTTGCCACAAAGAAGGAATCGGTGCTATGCTAGAGGATGGAAGATTCTGTACACATGTAAACATATTAAGATCATGAGATAATAACAATAGTAGAATAATATTAATACAGAAAAATAATCAATGCAGGTCAGAACAAATTAATGCAGCAGGATGGCATAAAATAAAAAAAAATATTGAAATAAAATATAGTGAAATACTAATAGAAATCAAATAGAATGTTAAAAGAGCATGCAAAAGACTTGGGGGAGAAAGTGGGCATGTCTATTATTTAAAATTGGATTTAATAAAACATAACTGTGCACATAGTATAGTAATTTCTTTTCTTTTTTTCTTTAAATTATTATTGGTTGACCTTGTATGTTAGATAAATTTCTGCTGAGAGGAGCTTGAGGAGATAAATCTCCCATTTAGCATCTCTTATCTGCTGTAGATCTATCTCACTATGACTCCTTTTTTGAGTCGAGATTGGGGGGCGGGGCCATGGTGTTAATCACCAGACAAAGACAACCTCCTACTTTTTTAAGTCAATTTCTATCTTATTAGGCTTTCAACCTCATCTGTCATAGCCTCATCATCCTTTTCGTCCACTCTCAAACTTCCTGTAGAGCATTCCAAAAATGTTATAAAAGATAAAATAACAAACCACTGGACTTTGTTTTCCAATTGTTAAGACGTTTCGTTTCCCATTTCAATTACTAAGGGGTGAACCTGTTCTTCTGGTTCAATTTGCATGTTTTCTAAGCCATAAATCTGTTCTCCAAAGCTCTGTTGGATACTCTATAAAACATGGAACTCAACACTAATTCAAACATTTGGAATTGAAAAAGCTTCCTGGATAGGAAGCAAAACATCTTCAACTTTGGAAAACAAAGTCCAGGGGTTTGTTTTTCAACTTTTTTGGAATGGCTATGACCTCGGTGACTGAGAATCTTCACCAGCATATTCCTGTAGAGCACGCAATCTGCATATTTTAATGAGTGGAACCAAACTTGCTTCCACGTCTTAACATGCAACAAGCATTTTTTTGTAATCTTTTAAGATCTGGCTTTAAGTCTTCCCTCTATAAAACACAATTATTCACTAATGTCAATACATATCACTTAAAATCAAAGTAACATGCATTGAGTTGTCTGAAAAGTATAAAATTGATTAAGGGGTTGGAATACTTTTGTAAGGGATACCGTTATGTGGTACATGAATGTTGCAGGGGACAGGCTGGCATTTTATTTCTGGCTGGTGTATTAAATTGGAAAATAAAATATCCCTGTGTGGTCCTTTGGTTTGTGGATTGAATATTTAAGTATCCATATTATGTAACCACTTCCAGCTTAACTGTTTTCTAAGGAAACTGGGAACAAAGTCTTTCAGTCTTACACTTGCAGTGTCCAAGCCAACCAGGATGCTGCTTTAATGTAGGAACAACAAAGTGATGGCCTCCTTCTGTGTTTTAAATTAGAGAACATTTAGAGAAGCACAACATGTTTTTTCAAGTTGTTTTTCTTTAGTAACATTCAGAAACACTGTATAAATATTTATTAGTCATAAATGTAGTTTCTTACATGTGAGTGTGACTCTTGAAAGCAGCAAAATCTTTCCAGATCGGATTGTTCTGGTACAAGTTCAGCTGTTGAGAGCATCTCTGCAACACAATACTTGACTGAATAATTCTTAAGTAACACATCAAAGCTCACACAACTGTTATTGACATTGTGCAACTTTGCTTTTACCAGTACAATTGTTATATATAAAAATGGTTTAGATGCACAAAACCGACTTTGCAGATGGTACTGCATATTTCAGTTAAAATAAAGTTATCCTCTTTGCACACATCTGTGGGTTTGCTTTCATAATGGTTGTGTATTTGTGTGTAACTGCATAAGATTTGAAATTTGTATAGGCTTTCTAATGCAACGGATGATGTAAGATGCATTTTTGTTTTTAATCAAAAACTTGTTAGTAACAACTGCTTTTTCAAGAGCTCACTGAGACTGGTGGAGGACTGAAGTGGGTTTTCGATTGTCAATTTGTTTGTTATTCACAACAGGAGTATTTGCTCTGATCCCATCTGGTCTTTCAACATCTACCTTATCTGACAGCTGAGAAGGAACCCACCCTTGCTTAGTAACGCTGTTGCCATGGCCTTTGTGGAAATCATCCAGACCCCACAGCTAATTTGCGAGCCGTGATGTGACTTGAGCACTCTCAAAATGCAAAACAGGAAGATATTTCCTGTAGATCATCTCTCATCCTGTTTATCCCCTCTTATTTTCTCATAATACTTCACTCTCACTTTTTTTATAACTCCCTGTGACTCCACTGACATTTCCTTGCTTTAAGGACTTTGACTGAATTTTAAATGTCTGTCAACCTGAGAATACCGAGGCATTCAAATGGAACTGGAGGCACAAGGCAGATTGAAGTGAAATACAAATGAGAGCAATTGAATGTTGTCTATATAATGAATCTAAGATTCAACTTGACAGTCTCTCTGATATTCTCAACTGAGAAGGTCATATTTAAGGTGCATGATCTCCACCTAAAATAGGACCAATTTTTATCTCAACATTTCTGTTCTTAGCCACATGAAAGGAACTTCCATCGTGCACACTGCTCTCTAAAACTGTTGGGTTGCCTGATTTTTTGTCCTCGTCCAATATCCTCTTCCCCTTGTGTCTTGCTACAAGGTTTTGTCTTGTTCTAATTAAAATCCTTCAATTCGTCAAGCCTCTTCTTCAACCGCCTGTGCTGTTTTTCCTACTCTAACCCCTCAACATTTTGACACCAATTTAAATTAGACGTAGACAATGTGTTAAACAAATAAATTCTCACTTGTTCAAGAGAGCTGGGCAAATTTAAGCTTTTGTTTAAATGTTATCTTTACCTGCTAACCATTTTATTACTGGAGGTAAGACATAACCTTACATTGAATGTTTGTTTGCTTTGGTTAAGAACTAACACATTTCACATAATGTGCAAAAAACAAACAAAACAAAAAAAACTTAGGGCTTTATCATATCTTTTCTCTTGAGAATTGCATGCATGAAGAATTGATCACGGCAGTGTTTAGTTATATTCCAAATTTACTAAAAGTATTAGCTCAGAGTGCACAGTTGCTTTTCATGCTTAAACAACTAAACAATTTTTCTTTTCTCCAAAGTGAAAACATTTGTGACTGTAGTGCCTATATGAATGCAACACAAGAGACATTCTATGTTATTTTTCTATAAAAATATAGCTGGACTTATACAGCAATTGCAGCTTTGTTCTCCCGTGCATATTTTTTTAAACAATCAAATAACCATGGACATTGATTGTTTCAGGATAACTAAATAAGTGTTGAAACCTTTTTAAAAGTATACTTAAGTAGCTATCATTGTATGTATTTTCTAGATATCTGACTGGTAAACCGACAAAGAACAAGTGAACAGATTTTTCCACACCTGTTGGCAAAAGTCCATTGCCTGTGTAATGATCCATTGAAATGTTACAAAAAAAATCAGGCATTGATATAACATTCAAACATAACAAATACTAAAAATCAGCATTCATATTAAATTTGGCCAAATAACAGGGCTTTTATAGTTGCTTAAGATATTAGTTTTTTTCTTTTTGGCTCACTTTGTACTGATGAGAACATTTGACTATGACTTTTCCAAAATAGACAATCATTATTTTATGATAGTATTCCTAACTTATTAATTTAAGATGAATTATTTTATATGATAACCACTTAAATAATTATTTGTATCAAAATGCATAAAGGTCCCTTTATGCAGTATGTCATTAAATGATCTTACCTTGGCAAAATAGAAGGATTTCCTTTTGAGCCCCTTCACTTTATCAAAATCCTTCTGAAAATCTTATTTTTTTATAGTTTAGTCCTTCCTTCCTCCATGTGGCGAGTCTATGAAGAAGATGGTGTTTTTCACTTAGCAGTGAGTGAGAATGACAGGGGGAAGGGGAGAGAGAAGAGACCAACATTACCTCTCTCTCTTCAAATCCTTACAAAATGTGCACCCTCCCACATGTGTTCCTTTATTGTGTCTGCTTTTTCACTCATTGCATATGCAAACATGCATACACACACAAAAAAGGACCAACAGCTGGCTATTATTTGACCTCCTCTGAAAATAAAACAAGAAAACGCCTGTTTTTTTTCCTGCTGCATTTGAAAGGCTTGATTGCCTTGCAGAGATATACCCTACCTGTGGAGGAGTGAGAGGGGGGTAGAAAAGTGAGCAGCCATGTGAAAAATGAACAGAATTGCACTGTATGTTCTCAGGTACACAATTAATCATATAAAAACTCATATATGAGAGTCTGATTTATGTCAAGAAACATTTAGAGAGATACATTGTCATCACTTGATTAGTTTTGTTTTCTCCATTGCAATGAGACCCAATCATAGATTCCCTGCTGATTAGAGTTAGACTTAGAATTATTTTGTCATTTTGTATACACAAGTGTAAACAAAAATAAATCTCGTTTAGAACTAGACAATTTTATTTTGATTGTGATAACAACACCATCAAATAATATTGGAACTGTTTCTCCAGTATAAAGCTGCAGGATTTTGATAATGGTTTGTGAAGAATATTTTACACTTCACTGTAGAAACCTTTAAGACCTTTTTCACCACTGCAATTTCAGAGGCTCAATCCAATACAAGATAGAGTGCTGAATTGACCGATTTATCATGGCAAAAAAAGGAAAAAATGAGAAAAAAACATTAGGACTGTACAAAGAGGCAGGGTGAAAATGAACAGATAGATATGTAATAATATATTTCAGTAGAAGTCTTGCAAGGTGATAGAAAACTGAGATTTTAATGAAAAATGCATAGTTTTTAGCAGAGGGTATTATAAGCAAATACTAAATATAAACACATATAATCAGAGGAACGATACAGAGTTTGGCTATGTGGAAAGCACATGCTTAATATTTCATTCTCTAATCCAAAATACTTTTGCCCATCAAAAAGCATTTTTACATCACTAAAATAGCAATTTGCAGCCAGATTTTTCATAACACGTTTTGTTTTCAAGAGCTAAATTGACTCTCTTATAAAGAATTAGATAAGCTATTGTCTTCTGCAGATATTAAGAAAAATAAGTAGATGTTGCCAGTTATTCATCAAACAACTTTTACAACTGTCTGTTAAAGCAAGTGTTAAAGAAATCAGTTTCAGTTTGTTGTAACATTGAGCATTTCTTGCATTAGGATGCTTCAGACTCTCTTTAAAAATGACCTAGTCAGCAGTGTTGATGTAATCTGTATCTGCAAGGGGCATGTTCATTTGTTTTATTGGACTGATCTGGCCATATTTATACTGTAAGTCCTCCAAAACCCTGACAGCCCAGGGTGCAGACCAGGAAGCAGTCATAGTTTGACACACCTCTCTGCAACTCCTCTACTATTACTCGATCATTACTCTACCCAGAAAGTGTCTTGCCAAAGACCAAAGTTAAATAAATTTGAAAAGAATCATAAAGGAGTAAACCATAATAATCTTATTAAAAGTAAAATTACTTTAACCCAGGAAAAAGGTAAAACTATTAAATGTGGTTTATTTAACATGAAGTCTTTCTTTAAAAAGTCTATTAATGACTTGATTTGTGATAATAAAACTGATTTATGTTGCCTTGCTGCAGCAAGAGGATTATGTGAGCATAAACGAGGCAACTCCCTCAAGTTATTTAAATTTCCACATACCCAGAAATTCAGGGAAAGAAGGAATAGCAACAATTTTTCAATCTGACTTACTGATTACTCCAAAGTCAGTTAATCACTTAAAATCTTTTGAACATTTAACACTTAGTTTCCCTCATCCAAATTGCAAAGCAACAAAACCACTTCTTTTTGTAACTTTGTATCATCCACCAGGTCCTTAACCTGAATTTTTAAACTGCTTTGATCCAGTTGAGCATTAAGGGTTTGCTAAAGTATTATCTTCACCTAAGCCTTCAACTTGAAGGTTGAATCCAGTTCAGACAATTTTATTTAAGGAAGTATTCCCTCTTTCCACCTCCATTTTATATATGACTAACCATTTCTGTTACATGGATATGTTCCTCAGACTTTTAAGGTTGCTGTAATTAAACCGTCTCTTACCCTGGATGACTTGGTCAATTATAGACTGTTAAGGAAGAAAATATTCTAAAATAGTTAACTTTGAAAAAAGGTTGGCTTTCTCTCTTCCTTTCCCAGGTCCGCTCGGCGAGCTGCGTGTGGCCACAAGGAAAACCAGCATTGCGTATTGATGTCACAGAATTACAGAGTTTAATCCAATATAAGACAATGCATAAACTTACAAATAAGACAATGCACAAACTTACACCAGAAACTGCAGAACAACGGAGACATACATTCAATTACCTGACATAAATGGAGAGAAGGAAAGAAAGCAAAGACGTACAAAGACATCTTTGGAGAGTTGCAAGAGCAAATCTGATTTTTTACTTCTGTGTAGAAAGTTTTAACCTCTTGTATTTAATTTATTCAAATAAGGCTGGCTTTTGCTCCTCCAACCAGGAGCTATCTCTGACACTCAGAAAAACTTAGAGCTTCCCCTAATTTACGGCAAACATCTGGGGTCCAGGAATTCTAAGGTCTTCTGGCTAAAGAAAACATGAGATGAGACCTCACAGAATAGCTGTTGGAATGCGGGGCCTCTTCCTGCCATAAATTCTCCGGAACAAACTTAAATTCAGTAATTTGGTTCAAGGAAAGGTTATCTTCACAAACTTGTTCAAAATTAAGAAATATGTTCAAAACGAGAGTGCTCAACATACCTTTTACACATGCCATAAGATTAACTGTATTAAAAACTAAAAATAATCATTTTTCTTTAACAAGACCTATATCTAATCTTCCTTTCTTATCTAAAATTCTTGAGAAAATAGTTGCTAAACAAGTGTCTGACCACTTAAACCACAATGACATTTTTGAAGAGACTCAAACAGGTTTTAGCTCATCATTGCATTGAAACAGCTCTGGTTAAAGTCACTAATAATATTCTGATGGTATCAAACAACAGACCTGTATATGTACTTGTCTTGTTAGATCTCAGTGCCACATTTGATACAGTCAATCGTAATATTATTTTGGATGATGCTCAGCTGTGTCTGTCTATAAATCAAGGTGAAGCTAACCCATTACATGCCTATGTTTTTAATACATAGGCATGTATTGAAAACATAGAAACCTGGATGACTCTTAAATTTCTGCTCCTGAGTGCAGAAATTCTATTCTGTTAAATCCAGAATACAATTTAAAATCCTCCTTCTCACATATAAAGCCTTAAATGTCCAAGCTCCATCTTATATCAGAGGTCTTCTAATAGAGCTCTTCGCTCTCAATCTGCAGGTTTATTAGTGGATCGTGGACTTTCTAAAAGTAGAATGGGAGGCACATATTTTAGTTATCAAGCTCCTCTCCTATGGATAGTGTTGCACCGATATCGATACCAGTATCGGGCGGGGCCCCACACTGTACAGTGTGTTTACAGCTCACAATGCATGTTCAGCCCGCAAAGTGCCCTCTAATGCGATCTACCTGCTAACACTGTACGTCTAAAAAAACATGTCAGATTCAGCTCCGCAGTGAGATAGAGCTAATCTGACTCGTCTATCTGGAAACCAAACAGGTACAGTAGAAGAGGAATATGAAGCTCACTGGAGTGATACAAGCTGCCTTGGCAATTTGTACAATTTTGTGCTGAAAGCCCTAAAAATAAAAGGCAAGGACGTATTTGGACAAAGACATGGATGAGCAAACGTGGCTGCTCGTGTCTGTCAGTTTTACAGAAAGAACTCCATTTTACCTGCACCCCCAACATGCTTATATGTTTACATCTGAGAGGAAGAAAAAGAAGAAGAATCCTTATTTGCACATGCTCACTGAGCGATTTGCCCAGTGGGCATCTCCCGACCTCACGATTCCTCACGTGGGAGACTGATCTCCCATTGTTACGCCCCATACACAACACCGATCGACAAATTCTCGCACGACTGGAAAATCGCCTCGAAAAGGACCAAAAAAATTGCAGTGTAAGCCCAGCTTAAGTGTCTGAATGTCTAGGGGTCTGCAATCCACGACTCTTTAGTGCTCCCTTAGGGGCTACCTGGAGCTTTTACAAAAGTTTATGAAAATGAAAAAAGACAATGTGCTTTTTTGTTTGTTTGTGTTAATATGGCGTTTAAGAGGTCAAAAAAACATTCATTATATTTTCCAATGTTGTAAACATTTGTACAATAAATAAATTGAAACTATAATTTTAAATGTCTCTGTCAACGAAAATTTGTTTCATTGGCTGCAACACATGTTTAAGCATGGCGCTGTGCCAGGCAGTCGGCTGTTGAGTGGTGGGTGAATATCGGGCCATGGATCCCAAAAAAAAGGAAGATAGCTGATGACAACAGAGGAATTCAAAGAAGAAAGGCACGAGTCATTTGCTTTCATTACCAATGTGGAAGGATTGCCAGCATATTTGCTTTGTAATGAGAAGTTGTTAAGAAATAAAAATAATCATTTGGAAAGGCATTTCCAGGGAAGCCATGCTAAATATGCAGCCAGAAAAAGCAAGAAAAAGTCTGAATGAAGAACTTCTGGATAGATGTAAGAAGTAGATTGCATCTCCAAACTCCACTACTGCTGCTAGTTTTGTTGCAAGCATGGTTCAAAGTTCTTGCATTTTTTCACTAAATCCTCAAAATAAAAATAACACCAAGGAACGCTGGTGACTGAGGATGTGGGATTTTGGGATCAAAGAGCACTGCTCTGATGGAGGTTAGTTCCTGCTTGGTTCAATCAGCTCTTCCCAACAGAAACACATCCACCGTTGAAATATTCCTTTATCATGTTTCTATAATTTCATCAGTGTAACAAAACCTAATGCATACAAACTGTACGGTAAAGGGC